CGACGCATTGGTGAATTGTCAATCAGATCATCGTGAATCAGGAAACCAGCTTCGATCTACAAATGTGTGAACAGGTGAAACTGGATGTTGGCGCGCTGCAAGTTACCAGTTCAAGACACCAACCGACAAGATTAGCCATGCGTGTTGTCACTATCTGCTCCTGTCCGTCTGAGAAGGCCTTGAAAGCGGCTACACACAGTAATCCGCGGACCTTCTTTCCGGTGGGAACGTTGTACTTGGCCGACTTAAGGTTGAATTTATTAATGGAAACTGGAGGAACATACTTTAAAAAAATGTTCCTTTGCAGGAAGGAGCTGTTTGTCGAGTCGGGAGTACAGGAGGTCAAGGGCTTCATCAAAGAAACGGTCAAAATCAGCGCGTAAACTCGACAAGATGCTCATGTTCAGAAGCCGATAGCTAGAAAGAAAGGGAGCGATTTGGTAAGCCAGGGTCAGGTCAGTTAAGTGTTATGAAGCTATCCGAGAGTTCTAACTCTGCTTGATGTTATGCATTAGGAGGTATAAATTACATGCAGTATCTCTATGTTATCTTTCCCATGCAGTACGCGAAATATTTTCTAAAGTAAATGAAGCGCAAATTCCGCAAATTTTCCGTTATATTTTCTCGTGTAATATAGGTACAAGACCCATAGGCCGCAGAAAGCATTTTTGGATAGGAAGGAAACAACGAGTTTAAGTTTAAAAAATGTAGTACAACCCACTTGACAGTTCTACCAACAGAGGCTTTAGTTATCACTTTGGTCTGACCTGCTTTTACGGTCTTTCGTGCTCCTACAATGGGTTAAGCGGTAGATGTGTTGAAACAACGCGAGGTCAGAACAGAGCACAGCAGGTGTGATTGAGGATGCCGCATATAGGGGACACTGATGACACGCTAAGTCGCAGCCTTAAGCCTCGCCTGATCTCGCCCCTATTATTTTTCTGACTGTCTTGGCCTTGAACGCAAGTCGGTGAGGATGGAGAGTGTGCGACGGATGCTGCAAAATTCCTAATGTCAACAGAAAAGAATTCGCGCGCAAATCACCGTGATTGCGCACGCGCTACAATGGCGTTCACGGTGGACATCGTCGAATCCGACGGTATTACTGTCGTACATTATGCCTAACCCTGGTGTTAGTAAACAGCTTTGAAAGAAGAAAATGGAAACTTTCCTTGACAAGGTCTCTTTATATTAATTAAAAAATCCAGAAAAAAATAAAAGTAAATGTTTGAATGCAATATTGGACGCCGTGCTGCGGTGCCTGTTGAACAGGACGCGATATACTGTCATGGTACAGCAGAGCATGCAAACCAACAAGGAAACTGTGTGTGACATTCATCACGTTAATGTCATACTCGGATTTAACTTATTACCAACTACGTGTTAGGACTTGGTCCACTTGGCCGAAGCATGTGTCCTTAAGCCCGCTTAG